AGAGCAAAGAGGTGCAGAGGCAGGTTGGAGCTGCAACTCAGGACACCCCGGCAAAAGCCTCTAACTCCTCTTACGCAGGACAGGGAGCAGGGCCGTGGTCTGCGGGGCTGGGGCGAATGGCAGGGCTGGGCTCAGCGCTGGGAGGCATTTGTAAACGCGGCAGCGGTTCCAGGTTTGCTCAGCAGCAGGCTGCTACGTGCCCGTTGAGCACTGGGTGTTTGAGGTTAGGTCCAGCAAGGCTTGGAGGAATGAAGCGTTGGAGTGAATTGGCTTTTACTGGAGCATACTTTTTCTTTAGTGAAGGTTAGTTAAGTTTCTTTGGTTAAGGTTCTCCTCAAGTAACTGGGTTTTGTGAGAGGAGCCAAAGCTGCTGGGATGCAGCAAAGACAGGGACAAAGAGAGGCACAGGCAAATTAGGGTCACAGGAGTGACAAGGCAGCAGGGTGAGAGGAGGGAAACACAGGGCTGGTGGTGCCTGCAAGTGGGGCAGCTCCCAGCAGGAGGGGGATGCCAGGGGGCCAACAGTCACCTTTCGGGTTCCGATAAGTCCTGTTTTGAAAAGCACAGCCCTCACCTTCTTCACCACCACCTTTGTTGGGAATGAGCACATCAGCCCCTGTGAAATCGCTGGGCAATTAACTGCTGCAACAGTTCCCTGGATAAGGCGGTTTTGTAGCTGTACACCCTCATCCACCTCCCACGGATGCCCGCTGGGCCGGCTCAGCGAGGAGCCGGGGTGTGGGGCAGCCCCTTCGCCCCATTGCTGCCGGCATCGGCTGCTGTAAGAGCCCCGCTGCTCCCCTGCCACCGAGGACTCTCCAGAAGGTGACCGAGAGCTGCCAAGGGAGCCTGTAGTCCTACCAGAGGAAAGTAAATGGGATGCGTTTGGATGGGGTGACATGGCATGTAGTTATAGAGCACTTTTCTCCCTGTTCCCCCCTTTGGTGACCATACTGCCCCACAGACGTACCCCTGGGGCCATTGGGAAATGCTCTCCCTCTTTTCCTCCATACAGAAGAGTGGTGGAAGAATCGCCAGTCGGGATAAACCTGCAGAAGTCACAGCCTGTTCAGAAGTGCTCCCAGACAAGAAAGAAAACCTTTTCTAGGAATGTAGGTCACGGAGTGAGATAAAAGCCACGCTGCTTCCACGGCCAATCTGATGGCAGCCTCTGCATTTGAAGTCACTGGCAGAAAAACCTCATTTATTGAGATCATCAGAACTGCTGAAGGGATTTGGGTTAATTTGAATGGGGAATTGGTATCCGAATCCCACTGGCAGCTTTCAGTCTCAGCCTTCGCAACCAGTTCACAAGCAATCTACGGGCTAACGTGCAATTTTGCTTGCATGATCATGCAGCCTTTTACTGCTGCAAAGAGTAAATACATTTGGACACAGAAAATCACGACCAGAATTTACAAACCAGAGATGGCGAGGTAGAAACAAAACTGTCCCATTCTTTCCTTAAATGCTTGTCTTTTAAATGACAAAGATACCGATCAGCTCAAACCAAAGGCGAGGCAGCAACGGCTCCGTGAGCCTCGCTAACGGGATCTGACAATGAGACTTGTACAACGCAGAAGCATCTCAGAAACTCTTCCAGCAGCCACAGCACACAGAGACCCTCATCCACTGCAGGAGGGCCTTCTCTGTGCCGACACGGAAAGCCAGGAAGACAGATGTTGGCCAGAGAATAAAATATGAGCCAGTGCAACGTGATGACAGACAGGGATAGGTCACGAACGGGTCTCTCTCCGTGAGGGAGCGTAATGACCAGAGACAAGCTGGAGCAGATTTAAGGGCCGCACACGAACAGGGAGATGCAGGAGGTGCGTGAGTGAGGTTAGCAAAACCAGTTTCTAAAAAGGTCTTTAAATGTGAGCTCTGAAGTTAGGAAAAAAGCAGCTATTTTTGTTTTTAAGAAAAAAAAAGCCAACTCTTAAAGCTCCTAAAGGCCTAATTCAAGGGGATCAGACCCAAGCCTGAGGCAGAAGGCAGGGTCCCTCCGCTTAAAGCACAGGCTTTGTGGATAGTGCATTAGGCTTTCCCCATACCCTGAAGTGCCTGCAATTGGATTGCTCATTGAGGGCATGCTTTAATTAACTTTAAGCCTTCCTAAGTAGAGAGTAATGATAAATGGTGTACAATGAAGCTAAACTGCATTAGAGACTAAGCAGGAATCCCTTAGCTTTGAATGAAAACCTCATATGTCCCGTCAGCAACGTGATTAATGGCAAAGTGTTTTGCATTTGCAGCTGTAACCACAGGCAGAAGAGAGATCTGAAATGATGGCTGAAAGGTTTTTCTGCTCATATTTGAAGAGTCAGATCATTTAAGCGCAGCGCTCTGCCTTGTTCACCAGACCCCACGTGTGTTTCTGTGGCTGGCACCACTTATATGGGCCATAGTTGACAGCAGTGATGACCCCTGAAGCACCACATCTTGGGCTCGTGGCCTTTTCCCATGCTCTGGGATTCTCAAGTATAATTTAATTTGCCTGGCACGAGCTAAAGCTGATTCAAAATACACATTGTTTAAATACAGATGTAATGTCCCTGGCAATCGCAGCCTTCCTGGAATTAATGCTCCTGGAGACAACACTTCCGAGGACTGTTGCGAGGAGCTGTAGAAAAACTGGGCATTTTTGGAATACCATCTAGTTGCTACATAATGTTTGACCGAATGCCATTTAAAATCAAAGGGAGCCCATAAGTGGTTTGGAACAGGCTTGTAATGGGAATAACTTTCTGCAGCATTTAAAGCACAGATTTCTAATAGCAGCTGATGAGGGAAATCAAATTATTAGTTTATTTATTTGTGTGTATTAGCATTTTGTCAACCATTTCTTGTCTTTGCTCTTAAATTAATCTAGCAGAAAGCCCATCAGCCTGCTGTGAGCTCAGCAAAAACTGTGTTAACCACAATGTTTTATCTGCCTGCACTTCACACAACTTGCAGTGGCTGCTCCCCTCTGCGATCAGCAAGTCTCCGTTCTGCAAAGCAGGGTGGTCACGCAAGGTGAAAGCAGGACTAGCCGGGAGGGAGACTGCTACATCTCTTCCG